AGGGTGGAAATATGGTTTAGAACTGGAGTTGGAAGAACTAGCCAAGGGTTAGATGTGAGTAATGAAAGGGAATGAAAGCTTTGGCTTTCAGCAGCTACGTCACTAGCAGCATAACTGACTGACCACTAATCCACGTCTTGGGGTCCAGTAAGTGCCCTCACTGCCACCGCCACCTATGCTGCACCGGGCCATGTTGTTGACTTTTGGGAAAAAGATACTACTTCAAGCATTTCCGTGACATCTTCCTTCTAGTGTTCATTTTATGACATCAAGAAAAAGTCATGTTTAAGTTACCTAACCCCTACCCTGCTGCCCTCCCAGGAGTACTATAAATGTTTGTTTTGTCCAGACTCCTCCTCAGAGTGGCACTTGGACCCTGGGCCCAAGCATCTGGCTTTAAGTTGTGGGCCTGTCACCTGTCTTTCAGGAGTTGACAGCTGGCATACGCTTCTAATAGTGTATCTTTTTTTTTTTTTTTTAATTTTTTATTGTTGGTTGTTCAAAACATTACATAGTTCTTGATATATCATATTTCACACTTTGATTCAAGTGGGTTATGAACTCCCATTTTTACCCCATATACAGATTGCAGAATCACATCAGTTACACATCCATTGATTTACATATTGCCATACTAGTGTCTGTTGTGTTCTGCTGCCTTTCCTATCCTCTACTATCCCCCCTCCCCTCTTCTCTCTCTACCCCCTCTACTGTCATTCATTTCTCCCCCTTGTATTATTTTTCCCTTTCCCCTCACTTCCTCTTGTATGTACTTTTGTATAACCCTGAGGGACTCCTTCCATTTCCATGCAATTTCCCTTCTCTCTCCCTTTCCCTCCCACCTCTCATCCCTGTTTAATGTTAATCTTCTTCTCATGCTCTTCGTCCCTACTCTGTTCTTAGTTGCTCTCCCTAATAGTGTATCTTGTTCGTATGTATATATATATGTACATGGTTGTCAGTCAGTATCCATGGGGAATTGGTTCCAGGACCCCCGTGGGTACCAAAATCAGCAGTTCTTGTATAAAATGGTATATTATTTGCATATAGCCTACCTCCCATAGATTTTTAAATCATCTCCAGATTATTTATAATACATAATATAATGTAGATATTATGTAAATACTTATGTTAAGGAACAATAACAAGGAAAACATCTGTACATGTTCAGTACAGACACAGTTTTTTCTGAATATTTTGGATCTTTAGTTGGTTAAATCCATGGATGCAGAACCCTGGGATATGGAGGGCCAACTGTAGAAAATAATATGACTATTATTTACAATAAAAATTTTTATGATCTTGTTAATAAACATTGAACTAATTTAATCCAATTATTTCTTTATTATTTTCTACATTTGCCTTAAAAATATCATGAGGCTTAAGTTTCTTTGTCAACACAATAGGAATAACAGAAGAGTCATTATTTATGGGTATGTTGTGAAAATGAAATTAAATACTCTGTATGCAGAGCTTAGAACAGTAGCTGCTCTGTGATCTTCAGTAAACTTGAGTTATTATTTTTATTAATGAAATAATAATCTGGTGCAGGAGCTACTCCCAGAACCAGTGCACTGATTTTAGTTTTCAAATGGACCAGTCCAGGAACATTGAACAGCACGCTGACTTACTAAATACCTTGCATGACTTCAGACAAGACCTGCAGTTTCTTTGGATCTGAATTTCCTAAATTAAATGAGATACCTAGGATAGATAACCTAGGTTTTAAAACTTCTGTGGTTGTAGTAAATGGTTTCTGTTTTTCTCTCCTGTCTTCCTTTTACCATGCTTATCACAGAGTTTTGTCAGTGATACCTATTGTGAGATGTGACCTTTTGTTAGCACATTGTAGAATCCTAACATTAATATCACTTTCTATAAATACAGACTAGGGGTGAGGAAGTGCTGTCCTTTCCAGAAGTTTAGCTATTGAAAATCCTTCTCTTTTTAGGCTCTCAGTCTGTGGCCATTACTCACTGTTGGCAGTCTGCCCCGTCTCACTTCCGTTACCTTTTTCTTTCATGGTCTCTGATGCTGGAAGCCACCTACAGTTTTGAAGTTCCCCACTAGCCTTCCCTGGTGGTTGGCATTACATTTGAGTTCGGCTTTCTCGCTTCCTCTACCTTTTGAAATTTAAAAATAGAAAATAACCAACAAACCCTCTGTCTTTCACATCAGCTGCACTCTATTATACATCTAACAGATTTTCCGGTGAATTCCACAGTGTACCATTTATAGTCAGAAATCTGCCATCAGTTCACAATAAACCCTGTAAGAAATTGACAAAGAGCTACTTTTATTTTGACTATCAAGCATAAAATCAGAAATGGGAGGTAGCAACCCATAGGAGAAGGCTTTGAAAAGTGAATCCAAGAGACAGAATAGCTCCTAGCCTATTTTCTCCTTACCTGTCCAACTTCCCTGAGCCATTGGGTTGATAAAAAGACTCTTTCAAACTGTTTTTCTTGCACTGTGGATGGGTCTGGGGAAGCATGAGACCCTGCATGGGAGTGAGCAATATTTTCAGAGACTCTACCTCACATGGCAGCAAATATGCTAGAATATGGCACCTTCTGTTTGAAATATATAATTTTTGTCTGACAACTTTTTGAAAATATTTTTACAGGTTTTGTTTAAAATGGATTGGCTACAAATAACTGAGATTTAACCAGGCACCGAGGCACATACCTATAATCCTATCTACTTAGGATGTTAAGGCAAATTCAAGGCCAGCCTGGGCAACTTAACAAGACCCTGTCTTAAAAATTTAAAAAGACTGTAGATAAGGCTCAGTGGTAGAGTAACCCTGGATTCAGTCCCCATTACCATAAAAAGAAAAAAAAAAACAATTTAATATATAATTATTAGTTTTTCAGCAATTATCTCAGCATAGTTGGAAATTTTTATTAAGTTAAAAATTGAATCCAGTCTACACACTGCTTCCAAATGAATTTTTTAACCAAATCAATAATTAGTGAAGTTAACATTACATTCAGTAGATTTTTAACACTAATTTTAATTGTATAGCTATTCTATTTTGACTAAAGGATTGAGTATCCCTTATCTGAAATGCCTGGAACTAGATTTAGATTTCTGATTTTGTAATATTTGTGTAGATTATCCTGTTGAGCACATCCCTAATCCAAAAACCCCAAATCCCAGATGCTTCAAAATCCAAAACTTGGAGATGGGGGCATTATTTTCATTCTCAAAAAATTCACACTTCAGGTTTCTGGTTGAAGGATGCTCAAACCAAAAGTGGGTTCCAAGGTCCTAGACATTTTTAGAAGGCTCCAGGTAGAAGGCCCCAGGCATCACACAGTAATACCCCATGGTTAAAAATGCTCTGCTTGGGAAGTTCTAAGGGATGTTCTCCTTCAAGAAATGAAAGCCATTTTGGGGGACATTCAAGCTGACATTCAAATAGCAATAGTTTACTAACAGGAGAAACCCCTACAAAAGGCAGGGGAGTTGGAAGCAGAATCCTTGGCTTCCAGTCACCAGTTCACTGGATGACCTGTACCAAGAGCACCAAGGTCCTTGTCCTGCCCCCAGTAGTATCTTTCCAGAGAGACACTCCTAGTTGGGGACCTAAAGCCAGTTCAGTGGAGCTGAAAGGTTTACAAACCATCTGAACCAGTGACAAGAACTTCCCTTCCACATATTAACAGGGAAGCCATTTTTATGTCTGCATTATTTTATGTCAGTATTAAAAGGAAAGGAAGAGGAAAATGAGTAAGGGAGGAAAATGGAGAAAGAAAGAAGGAAGAAAGAATACACCATCAACAAATGTCAAGTATAGGTTGAGCGTCCCTTATTCCAAATTCTTGGGACCAGGAGTGTTTTGGATTTGAGATTTTTTTTTAATTTTGAAATATTTGCATATATCTAATGAGATAACTTGGGGATTTATGTTCCATATACACCTTATACACATAATTTTATACAATATTTTAAATAATTCTACACATGCAATGAAGTGTCACAGTAGAATTTGTGGTGTCATGTGTTTAAAAAATTGTGGATTTTGGAGCATTTGGGTTTTAGACTAGGAACACTCAACCTGTATCCCTTCTTCTGAAGGAAGAGCTTTATGTTCAGTCTCATTCTACTCTCCAGAAGTCATCTGTCATCTGTTTTTTCCTCAGCAAGGGACAAGTATGATGTAATGAGCAAGGATTTCAGAAGCAGATAGTGCCATGTTCAAAGTCAGCCCTGCCACTCATTGCTCAGCCGTCTCAGATGTGCTCCAGGGACCTGGGGTTCCAAGAGCCCATCCAGGTGTGCACCATATCAGATCATCTTACAGTTGCAGTATAATACTTTTAATTGTTTTATCGGTAGCTATGTTACCAAGTAATGGGTTTGTTACTATTGTTCTTAAATGAAGTAATAATTACTTTTTAAATTCTTCAGTCTCAATATCTAATGTGATAGATATTAATAAATATAATGCACATGAAAAGAGTTCTTTAAGGTCCTCAATAACATTGAAAAGTACAAAAGGATTTAAACCTACAACCCCAAAGTTTAAGAAACTCAGCACCATCAGTCAATGCCATTTATTGATTATTTCCTTGAGTTGAGAGCCACATGCTTTACCTCTTCTCATCTTTGAACCAAAACTACAAGCTTTAACCCAGGCTGCTTTGCTTGCCCAGGGTCTCTCTCAGCTAGACGTGGGACAGATAAGCCGGTCCTTTGACTCTGAGGTCAGACCTTCCTGATTCCCAGGTAGTGTGTACTTACAAATAATTCTCTGAACTTTGAAAACGCTTTTTTATTGCTCTGAGCCTCAGTTTCCATATCAAAATTGGACAGAATCAGGTCCCCTGGAGGGCTCTCTTTAGAGCAGAGTCACATGCATCCAAGGGCCTGTACTGTTGGACTAATTCCAGATAGGACCCTAGAGACTACTGGCCTTCACTCTTCCCTTCCTTCCTCTCTCTCTGGCATGAAACTGGGCCAAGGAGGCTCATCAACTCCCCTTCTTCCTCTAGATGGTCTACAAGCAGACAGAGAGGTCGAGGGAACAGAAGGAGTTGATGAAGATATGATTGTGACCCAGAGTCAGACCAACTTCATCTGCCCCATTACACAGGTAGGCTTCCTCCTTCCTCCCCTGAAAGAAAAAGCACTTAACTTCACAGAGCCTGAAAGCTTCCTGTTTGCTCTCTGATTTGATATCACATTTGGAGTTGGGGAGGAGAAGGGAAGAGAAAAGTGATGAGGGCTAAAGAGATTTGGGGCTGGAAAGAGTTTCCTGTTAATTGTGCCCTTAAGGATCTGGGAATGAAGTCATGGCCCTAGGGTTCAGTGACATTAGTGTCACTGTCTCCTTGTATTTCTTTATCTAAAGCCTAATAATCATCTAAAGCCATGAGAATGGGAAGTTGAAACATACACACCCTGGGACTAGGGAAAAAAGCCACTGGCAGTTGATCACTATCACTCCTGAAAGCCTAATGTCTCCTTGATTACAGTTGGAAATGAAGAAGCCAGTGAAAAATAAAGTGTGTGGCCACACCTACGAAGAGGAAGCCATTGTCCGCATGATTGAGTCCAAGCACAAACGGAAGAAAAAGGCCTGGTGAGTGGATGTGGGAGAGGAAGTGGAGGCTTCCCTAGTGGTCATCCATCAGGGGCGGTGTGGGTGTGTCCGTCAGGGTCGGTGTGTCCTGCTGGGGAAGAGCTCCTCGCCCATCTCCTGCATCACTTCACCTCCTCAGTACTGTAAACATGGAAGCTAGCTTTCTGGAAGGACAACCCAGAGGGGAAGATTAGTAATCAGCTCAGGAAGAAGCCATGGTGTGGTACTTCAGCCACACCCCAAAACCCAAGAAAAAGAGTCAGATCAAATTTTAATCATTGGATAACAGGATTCTCACGAATTTGCACTGTTAAAAAAAGTAGCCTGAGGACAATAAAGGAGAACCATGACACAGAGTTCTCTCTTGGCATGGACGCTTGCACAAATAGGAGGGAATGGTACTTTTTTTTTCTTCCTGTAGTATAGATAATTTGTTCTAAAAAATATATGTCAACATTCTAAGAATTCATATCTTATGGTCTTGATGATTAAGATTTAATTGTTTGGGAAAACTTTCATATATTTAATTACTTAAATAACTTCCCAAAAGATTTCAGTAAATTCATGGATAACTAACCAATGAGATTTCTTTCTTTTTTTTTTTTTAACTGGAAGTTTTGTGGAAACATCCCTTTTCTCCCCATCCTCCCACCCACATAACCTGGGGGCCACAGCCTATTCCTGTAAGGGAGTCTTAGTGAGACATGCTGGCTTTGACTTTGACTCTGTTTGGTGCTCTTATCACTGACTTGTGCAGGGGCTGCAGTGGCAGGTGTGAGCAGCTCTCACTAAGCGTCTGATAACAGTTGCTTTGAAGTGTGGTCTGCTGTTCCATCACCCAGAAATCTGCTGGTCCAAACCACAACTTGGAATTCCCCAGGACTCTTCACCCGGGTGTGGACTTAGGGATAGGGCATTGGAGACTGGAACTGTCCTGATGGTCATTTAATCAAGTAATTTACAATATCTATTCTAGAATAATAGTTTTGTATCCTAATGGTTGCAAAACATAGACTGTTAGTGCATTTTTAACTGTTTTCATTTCCTCCTTATGGTTGAAATGTCATATTTCCCTAGTGAACCTGTCACTTTCTCTTCTGAGTATAGTTTTCTTTGTTTCTAGACTTCCAAGTCTCCATCTCCTTCTAACTTTTTTTCTGTGTTCCTTCTCCAGCAAGCAAACAATGTCAACATAATAGCTAAGAATAGATTCTCCTGGTTAGTTTGATCTGATACCTCTTCCTTCTTACAGTTGATGATATTCTCTAGGGTCAGGCTTGGAAAGGGCAAGGACTGGCACAGCACATTTCTCACCACTAGCCCCAGGTACATCGCAGAGACACCCACTGCAATTAGATGGATCCTCTTAGGTACATACTTTGACTTTCTAGCGTCCTTTGCCTTTATTTAATTATTTATTTATTGCACATGACATTTACAAGCACTTGAGTAACATCATTTAGAAAAGTTTTTTCTGTCATATTTTTTTGAATGTCTGACACTCTGCAAATTCTCATAGTCTAATAATAACAACTGAGTCTAAGTGGAAGAACTCTACAGATTTACAAAGAAGGTATTTTTTACTGGTCCTTGAGAAATGAGAATTCCAGAGAATGGTGAAGGAGAATCTTCTAGCCACTTTCATGATTTCACTAGTTCCCTCATCTGTAATTTGTTGATAATAGTTGTAACTGTCTCATTGGCATATAAGATACAGGGAAAGTAGTTCAGGGACTTGGGAGATGGTGAGATGAGACTCAGTAAACATTATCCCGCTGCCACCATCCTCCAGCTTTAACTGCCTACACCGTCTGCAACTGTGCCGGTCTTATTACTCTGTAGGCATGGGAGACTACAGAGCTTTCAGGGAGTAAGATAAGCCAATCTAGAGGAAGTTACCCCAAAAGATTAAAGAGGATGAATGTGAGAAACTCAGGGTGCTTTTGCAGTAAATTACATCATAGAGAATGAGCTCACAGATGGAGGCAAGGATCATGGTGTGTGTAAGAGCATGCTTTCATCTCTAATCGGTACCGACACGGATGGTGGTTAGAGGAACATGTTTAGAAGTGATTACAAGAGACTATTTTGGTCATGCTAAGTTTGAGGTATCAGGAATACAACCATTTGGAAATGTCCAGGAGGTGTAGGAAATGTGGGGTTGGAACTTGGTAGAAGACTCTGAGCTGGCGATGGTGAGGTTATATAGAGAAGTCAAACCCACTCATCTGTCATCAGAGACAGCCCTGGAGTAGATGCAGTCACCAGTGGAGAGCCAGCAAGATTCCCTCAGCCCTGTTGCAGATCCTGATATCAACCTCAAAACAGCATTATTAGTCAACAACAGCATCAATCAGATGAAGATGATCCAGCAAAGCAGACTAAACATTCACCAGCAAACAGGAGGAAAATAGAGTGCTGGGTACCATGGGAGCCAGTGGGAAGAGCAGGCAGGTCCTCAGTTCCAGGCACATTTGGCAGCAGATTAGAATCCATGGCCTGTTCACCACTTACTCCAGAGGTTTCTGATTCAGCACAAACTGGTGTCATTCCCCATGATACATGTTAGATGAGCAGCACCAAATTCCCTTTGTTTAAAAATGTCTGTGACGCATCCAGTTTGAGAAATCTCTTCTTCCTCCTGGATTGTTGTAATTGTGTTTGGTTGGGCTGGAGTTACAGGTCATTGAGTTACCAGGCACTGTCTGGACCCCCCTGAGCATGCTCAGACCTAGGACGTGCTCTCTCCACTAGCTATATAGACCTTCGCCCCAAGTACAGTAGTTAGAACAATTTCCTAAAATATATCTTAATCCTAAGACTATCATCTTACAAATAAGGCTGTCGTATGACTTTCATGTGAATATTTCTAATTTTATCACAGTCATTGTTTTGCTTTCTTGATGAACAGTAGCTACAGTTAACACACAGTCATATCTCAGAACACATAAAACCAGATCGAGTGGAGTAGAAATGTGGGTTCAACTGTGTTTACCAGCAAGCCATCGGACCTTTTGACCTCAGCTTCTTCAGCTATGAAGCGGGAATGAACATCACTTCAGAGTTCTAGGGAACCCAGGAATGGTCAGGAGGTCCGTTCTATATCTGGACCAGCACAGCTTGGCAGTAGAAAATCACAGCACTGGGCTGGGGATGTGGCTCAAGCGGTAACGCGCTTGCCTGGCATGCGTGGGACGTTGAGTTCGATCCTCAGCACCACATAAAAAATAAATAAATAAAAAAAAATTAAAGATGTTGTGTCCACTGAAAACTGAAAAATAAACATTAAAATCTCTCTCTCTCTCTCTCTCTCTCTCTCTCTCTCTCTCTCTCTCTATCACACAAAAAAAAAAGGGGGGGGGGGGAAGAAAAGAAAATCACAGCACTTTGAGAAAGCTCTTTTTTGGAGTCCAGAGTGCTAAACAAATAGCTGTAGGGTCAGCGAGGCCCACAGTGTTAGCTGTTGTGGCTTATCTCACTACTTTGTGACACATTATCTGAGACTTGGATGTAGCATTGAGTTTCTCTCTGTGTTTAGGTATGACAGGAATCCATCCCACTCACATTTCCAGAGGCATCTAGAGACCTTCCTCCTGGGGCTTGGAATTCTCGGGACCTAGATTCAAGAACTCAGAAGACTCAGGCTCTTGTGCTCTTGAATTGATGTTCAGGCTGAGGTTCCTCGAAGCCTAGTGGGACCCCTAAGGGCCAGTCGCCTTTGTTCATCAGACCCGGATGCTGGCTCCATGCCAGGGAATGCCATGCCCTTCTATGACCCAGGTTCAGGACCAGCCTCTCCTTCGAGGCTTGTATGTCTGACTCCTAAAGACAGTGGTGCAGGCGGAAGGCGGGTGTCACCACACCTAACTGCTCACCGACATGTCATGGGGATTAAGGCCTAATGCCTACACTGAGTTTCTCCAGAGCAGGAGTGCCCTGATTCAGTACCATGGCATTGTGGCCTTTTGTTGTGTTTAGTTTAAAAACTTGTGTTTGTTTCTTCGGGTGGGGTAGGAAGCAGGGCTCTCCCTGGCTTCTGCGTCAGCCTCCCTCCAGGAAGTCTCCCTGGTTAGGCACACTCATGCACCCCAGGTTATACCACCTGGTCAGTGGGGAGCAGCAGCCAAGGGCCGGGGCAAGAGCTGCTCATGATAGGGCCTGGAGGGAATACTGAGTGGCCCCTGAGGCTTAGTAATCCTCGTTTCTCACAGCGACCCATGCTCCACCTGTCTGTGGAGAGGGCAAAACTCAGGCACAGAAGGAAGTCATTTGCCAGGGAGTGGAGCCCAGGTCTCTGTCACTCTAGGTTGTTTTCTGTTTTTGTTTTGTTTTGGGGGGGGGGGGGGGGTGTTTGTTTTGGGTTGTTTTTTTTTTTTTTTTTTTTTTGTCATTAGACCATCTGGCTCCCCTTGGGGGTGCTATTTGCCTCCTGCTACTGTCCCCAGAGCCTGTCCCCTAAGTGAGCTCAAACCTCTTTCCTTGACACAGATCTCTGTGGGCTCCCACCCACTGAAGCGAACAAAGGGGTGCTGTTCTGCCGGCGAGTGGTGTTAACTCTAGCCGACGTTCTCAGAATGTCCTCAGTTACTGACCAGCACCACTGATGTCATCAGGAAGTCCTCCCCACCTCACTCTCCACTTCCCTGTCCCCAGCTTATTCACCGTCTGGCTGCTGGAGTTAGACTTGGCTCTCCACAGCAGAGGTGGGAGGCCTGGCAGGCGATGCTCGGTGGGCAGACTGAAGGAGAGTTATCCTGTGACCTTTCAGGCCCTGGAAACTGTTAGGAGAACTTCCTCTTCTGAACTCTCCATTGTACCTGTATCTTCCTCATATTCTCGACTGCTTGCTTTCATATTTGGAGAAATAATTCCCTTTGAGACTTAAGAGTTCAGGGACTCGGGCTTAAAAAACTATACATTTTTAAACTGTATATTCCTCAAGCCTTAGCTTAATGCAAAGCCAGATCCACAGAGTGCTGCCTGCCTGGGCCAAGGCAGCCTGGGCCCCTTCCTGTCACATCTTTCTACAACTGTCATTCAACACATGTTCCTGACTGTACAGAGCACATTTTCGTATTTTAAAAGATTATCAAACACATGATTATTATTCATTACATTGATGAATGTCCCTCTAACTTAAAGACTCCTTGTCCAGAGACCAGGGCCAAGAAAACCTTTCTCTTGTATTTTGCTGTTGGACTTTCTGCCACTAGATAACTTAGAGCTCAGGGCCACCTTCCTGCCTCTTCTCATTGCTGTCTTTCCTCTTTACTTGTTTTCAGTCATACTGGGGCTTCTTGGAGAACTGCTGCTGGCGTGACTGAGCCTGGGTGGCACCTCACAGCTGTCTGGTGAAGCCTGCACAGCGCTGTCCCTAGAGAAGCTAATGAGCATGTGCCCTGGGTACATGCGAGATGTGGATGGGCCAGGAACTTGAAAACTTCTTTGAAGAATGATGATCAGGGAACGTGACCGTCATAGGAGACAGAGAAGGGAATGAACTTTAGGGAGCACCATGTTACCTGTCACCCTGTGAAACGGGGACTCCACACAGTTTACATCAGGGCAACAGAGGCCCCGCGGGGGGAGCGAATCTGCTGTGCTCTGCACTCACAACTGTGCTGGCTCCTCCCTTAGGCCTCTCTAGGAATATGGGGAGGAAGGTTTTGGACGGTCAGCCAGGAGGTGGCTGGACATTTCTGGTTTTGTCTACCAACAAAGAAAGGAACAAAATGGTAGAGTCCAGGCCTAGGCCAGCTGACTCCAAACACCGGGCCCTTGACCCTACCCAAATCTGGCTCCCAGTGAGAAGAAATCGGGTGACTTCATCCAACCCCCTACCTTTGCAGAAGGCCCCATCTAAACCAAGCAGGCTTTGTGTCCACTGCTTCCTGGATGACTCATGCTGCTTTCCTCAGCCACAGGCCTCCCAAAGGTCCCGGGAGCCTCATGGGCATGCAGAACGGCACAGAGAGTCAAGACTTGGTTCCATCCCCAGCCTGTTCTCCCGTTATTCCTGTTATAGTGAAGGGCACGCCAAGGTGCCCACCTGCCCACCTCTCCTTTCCCCTACACTCCACCTGCTGCCACCATCAGCCACACTGCCCTTGGCTCCTCCTGGGGATGGGACACCACACTATTCTCCTTTCTGCTCCACTCTTGCCCATGGACCTGTGTTCTCCTTTAAGCAGCCAGGGTAAAGTTTTCTAAATAGAAACTAAGTCATATCCGTCCCCTGTCTCAAAAGCCTCCAGGGTTTTCTCTTCCTACTTAAAATAAGCCCAAAGCCCCACTGGTCCCCTGACGTCACCTCCCAGGTCCCCCCTTGTCTGGTTGCTTCAGTGACCCAGGCCTTACTCTCACTGAGAGCATCCAGCAGGCCTCCTTGGCTTGCTCAAGAGCAGTCTGGAGAGGCTGCCTGGCTCCATCCCGGGACAGCCAGCCCCAACACACTGTCCCCTGGACCTCCCTTGACCTCACTTCTTTGCCTCTTGCACTCAGCGCCACCTGAACTTGGGGCATTTGTTTGGTCACTTAGTGATTGTCTGTCCCTCCCATTAGAAGGGAAGGCAAGAGCCCCACTGGCACATTGCTGGTGTCCCTGGCCCCTGGACAGAATCTGGCTCGGGTGGGTCCTCAGTGAAGAATTAAGTGAGCATTCATCAGTGTGATTTTTAACATGTTCTCACTTTTTTTTTTTTTTTTTTTTTTAATACTTGAATGTGACAGTTTCTGCTTAATGCATCAGAGTCCAGGGGACTGACTTGATTTTCTTTCTCCCTTACAGTTGCCCCAAAATTGGCTGCAGCCACACGGATATAAGAATGTCTGATCTCATCCAGGATGAAGCACTGAGAAGGGCAATTGAGAGCCACAACAAGAAGAAGTACCGCCAGCCTGAGTAGGAAGGATCCCCTCGCCACGGGGAGTCAGCAGCCCGCCCCGCCCCCGCCAGCCTCGCCAGCGATGCTTGTCAGAGCAGCTCAGGACTGGCTGCTCCGCATACTTGGTTTGGGTTAAAACTTGATGGTTTAAGTGAAATCCAAGGCATTTTTTCAAGTTACATAATAAAAATGCAAGCACATTACATTGTTTATTTTTAAATGTTTTATCATTTGAAATAAAACTTGTATTACCTGTCGCATGTCCTGTCTGCACACCTCCTGATATAAATTGTTCCAAAGTTACAGGTTTTTCTATTTCTTATACATCAGAATGACTTTTATAATTGTTTTTACTGATACTTGAATGAAAAAAAAAAAGAAATTCCCTAATTGAAAAGCCTTTTTTATAAGTTTAGTAAATGATAGCATTCAGTCACAAGCAAAACCAGTTTACTTTCCTGTTATGACTTTGTGTAATTGACAGTTCTGAATCTGTAAGTGCTTTTATTTGTCCTGTCTTTCCTGAATGGCGTCATTCTCTGGTAACAGGCTCACCAGGGCCACAATGATTGATTCCCGTGGTGGGAATCACTGCAGCCTGCATGGTCTAAAGTGTTGTCTGCAGCAAGCATACAGCAAGCAAGTGTTGTCTGCTCTGGGCTCTGCTGGGTGCTCTCTGCAAGTGCCCCAGTCCAGGGGTCCCCGGAGCCTCACTGTAAAGTAAAGGCGCTCAGGAGATGCTGTCCCAGGCCCTGTGGCCCCAAGAGTATGAGCACTAGGACCTTTAGATTGAGTGTCTTGAATGACATTCTGGTTGCATGAAAAGCACTAATCTGTTGTCTGCCTTAATGAACTTTTATCAACCAGAGACTATTGAATTAAATCCAGTGAAGCATACCCTGAATGCACCAGGAAACCATGAATAGCTAATGATGGCTGACGCTTACTGAGTGCTTGCTGTGTACCAGGTGCTAGTCAGAGCACTTTACATATAACTGACTTCTGTGAGCTTCACAGCCTGATGAGAAAGGTACTTCATCATATCCACTTTGTGGTTGAGGAAAACAGGCACAGAGAAGTAAAGTAATCTGGGGAAAGTCGCCAACCTAGGACGTGGATAAGCTGGCACCAGCGCTTTAGTCGCCTGGCCCCAGGTCTTCATCCTTAACTCCATGCTCTCCTTCTCCCAGTTGATTTATTTAGGATCTAAAAATATATTCAGAGCTCACATTTAAAAGCCAAAGCTTTTACAAATAAACATGTGTGCAAAAATAAGTCTAACTGAAATGAAGGAAATAACTGGGCTTGGCGACTACATGGCAGTGAAGGCCGTGAAATATTAACACATATTTGAGTTAAAGCGTGATTCAACATGGCAGAATTAATTTTGGAAACATTTTCATGACATTCACTTGCCTACAAAGTGATTTTGAGTTTCCTAACATGCTTTATCTGAATCAGGCTTTCCTGAGGAAACGGCGATGTTGAGGCCAGAGCAAACATACTTTTCATGGAATGTGGTTCTTTTGTGAAATACTGTTTCCTAAACAGATAGGGACATGCACAAATGCTTGCCCAATGTTCGATTTGCATTTCCCCAATTCTTTCTAAAGAGAATCCTGGTATATTGCAGTGAATACCAATACCGGTTAGAAAAATGCAAAATAACACCATTCCACTGTGGGAAAGATACAGTGTTTGTATCCTATGAAATTTTTTCTTCTTTAGTTTTCAGAAACTGTTTTATAAATTTGTCTAGCCAATTAAAGGATTTGACGTTTCATATAAAGTTTATTTTCATTTTTAAATGTTTTATGATTTGATTGTTATTATCAATCTGGCGTATTTATTAAATTTTTTACAGGAGTTTTCAACAAAAGTGGAACTTTTTCTTCAAATGAAATCATAATTCTCTAACTTAAAAATCCAACACATAAGACAGCTTAAAGAGGAGGTAGGCTTCCTTCTCCCCTTGACCCACACAGTCCCAGAGTCCTACCTGTAGTGACCCCAAAGCCCCATGAGGGACATTTGAAAACCACACGTTGCAGCTAAATAATGTTCCAGATACAACTGACGTGACACTTGGACACTTGTGTAGACGTGGCATTTTTTCAATAATAGTTTTTTTTTAAGTTCAAAACATTGCCACAGACTCAAAGATCATTTCTCTCACCGACGTGGAGTGTCTTGCTGGAAACACCTATGGTGGGTGCTGCTTCCAGGCGGACGCTCCCTGACAAGGACAGAGGAAACTGCAGGACTGAGGGCCCAAGGCCGGCATGAACTGACGACTGGCCAGGGCATCTCACTGCTTCACGCAAGCCAGTCCTCCCCGTGGCCCCAGGAGGTAGCTGCTATACCTCATTTTACGGAAGGGGAAACCGAGGCTGAGTCATCAAGTCCTTTGCCAGTGTCACATGCTTGTACATGGTCAAGCCTGTATGGGAACCCATCAGCAGGCTGCACTGGCCCATGGCTCTGTCCAGGGCCCTAGCAGGTAGTACATGGCCAGCGGGCCAGCACTTCTGCCCATCTCCCTTAGTGCTTCGACTGAGAGCACCATGTCCCGGGCCTCAGGCTCCAGTCATCCCCACATTTAGTCCAGCTGGGCTTCCCCCTGCCCCGGTTCTCACTGCAGACACCACCAAATCCAGGCCTCCCTCCTTGCCCTGCTCTGAGACTGACCAGCCTTCCAGCTGGTCTCCTAACTGACCTTGCCCCTCCCCTGTTAGTCGGCTAGGACGCTGCCTGGGTGACTTCACAGCACACCCCGAAACCCCGCGTCCCTGTAGATTGAAGTTCTGGCCTGGCGTTCAGGGTTGAACCACAGGGCAGCACCCCTCCTCTCTCTCCAACACTCCCCTCTTCTCCCAGCTTCCACCCATTATGGCAGGGCTTCCCCGGAGAGGCGCTCGCTCTCCTTCAGGAGCCTGACTAGCACGGGCTGGGACAACCCATCTCCACCGGGCTCCGGTTTTCACAACTAGGACACTTGGACATCTCTGTAAGGTTTTTTTTAAAAAAAAAGCTTTAAGATTCTGTCATATATTCAACTAATAGGTCCTGTGGGAAGTATGTGGCCCTTTTGAAGGAAATAGGCTGACATGGAAATTAATATATTTGAGCCAAATGGGTACATTGAATCTTCAGTAATTTTTTCAATAAGTATTTTTAAGGCGTAGTTAATGCCATACTTTCTGCTAGTCTTATAAATAGTTTGTCTGTTTGTTTTAAATCCCCCCTGTAGGACTTGTCTAGTTGTTGCAGACATTTAAAAAATTAAATTAAACTCCAAGCTAGAAGTGCAGCTTGGTGGTCGAGGCCCTTCAGCACAATTAAAATAAAAAATTACATTCTGTAGGAGGTATGTGAGTGCTGTGTGCAAGTCGTGCAAAGGGAAGAAATATGAAGTCAGGTAACAAGATTCCAAACAAGTTAACAGAAAGCTCTCAAAAACTTCTGATTGGGAAATGGGATGGGGGTGGATTCCCGGAGGGGTGGAAATCCGTGGCTTTGGAGACCATCTGGCTTGTCTCAGACTCACGGAGGGGGATAATTATTGTGAAAAGAGGCAGGTAGAACGAGGAACGGGAACCCTTCTGCACTGCTTGCAGAAATGCAAATTGATGCTGCAACTATGGAAATAGTTTGGCATTTTAAGAAGTTAAACTTATCACAGGCCCAGTAATTCCGCTCCTGTATAAAAGCATCTGTTTATAGAGACTCGTGTATAAATGTTCGTAAGAGCAGGGTTTGTGGGAGCAACAAAATGAAAACAGTCTAGAGGTCCAACTGGTGAATGAGGAAACCAAAAACACCGAATGCATACCATGGAAAACTGTTTGGCAACAAGCAGGCATGAGCACGCCACCACAGAGCTGCATCCCCAGCCCTTTGTATTTATTTATTTATTTATTTGGAGACAGATTCTCCTTAAGTTGTCTGTCAAGGCTGGCCTCAGACTTGTGAGATCCTGCTGCCTCAACCTCCCAGGTCACTGGGATTACAGGTGTGCACACCACACCAGGCAGGAGCAAGGTTGAGTGTCGTGTAGTGCGGCACTTCAGACCTACTCTTGGCAAATTTCAAGGATACAGTGCATTATTACTAACTGTATCTTAGGTCTCCAAAACTTACTCAGCTTATAACCGAAGTTTATGCCCTTTGACCAATCTCTCCCTGGTCACCCCTGCCCCCAGCCCCTGGTACCCTTCCTTCCAGTCTGGTTCTATGAGTTGGAATGAAGGATTTATTGATACATCTTAAAAGGTAATCAACCATTATGCTGTTTGAAAGAAACCAGTCACATAGAGTCTGAATCTACTCATATAAATGTAAAGGGACAAATCTATAGGGACAAAAAGATTAGTACTGGTCTAGCCTGGAAATGACAACAGAGAACAAATGCACATGGCACCACTTTGGGGTGAGGGAAATGTTCTAAAACAGGATTATGGTGAAGTTGACACAAGTCTAGCTGAAACTCCTCAAGTCCCCACACGGAGGGAGAGCTCTCCTCTGGTCACGTGTGAACAGAGCAGGCACGAAAGAGCCAGCAGAGGCCCAAGTTCAGCTGGAAGCCAAACCTCCTCCAGCCTTCTGAGAAGTTTCTCAATCTTTATCTTAAAGATTAGGGTGAAATAAGAATTCTATTTAGCCTCAGAAGATCCAGGATTCAAAAAGCGATTACTAGCCGAGCATGGTGGTGCAAGCCTGTAATCCCACAGCTCAGGAGGCTGAGGCAGGAGGATTGGGAATTCAAAGCCAGCTTCAGCAAAAGCAAGGTGCTAAGCAACACAGTGAGACCCTGCCTCTAACTAAAAAATACAAAATAGGGCTAGGGATGTGCCTCAGTGGTCAAGAGCCCCTGAGATCAATCCCAAGTACCGAAAAAAGTAAGCAATTACTGAAAAAGTCATTAGGGTTAATGAAAGGATACAATTAAATAGTGATTCATAGCAATAAAGAACCTAATGTTACCAATGGCTGCTTCTCGAGTAACTGTAACGTATAGTCCTACTGGCTATTTTTTTAAAAAGCATAATAGAATGACAACCTTGGCCAGTTCTCTCTGTTCATGTGGCCTTTGTGAAAGATGAGAATTTAGTCTCTGAAGACAGTCATTAGGGGGGTGACAGAACAACCCAAGCTTATATCAAGATCGTGAATTTGGGGATTAGGGTTGTGGCTCAGAGGTAGAGCACTCACCTGGCATGTGGGAGGCACTGGGTTCAATCCTCAGCACCATGTAAATATAAAATAAACTAAAAAAAAAAAAATAATATATATATATATATATGTATATTAGATCCCAAATGTTTATCACTAAAGAAAGGAATGTTGAAGAGGGATTTTTTGAATGAGAAAAACAACAATTGGTTTTAGGAATGATAAATAATATACCACTATAAGAGGAAGCAACCCGAGGATCATCATTAGGGGCTAAGGGTGCAGCTCAGTGGTACAGTATGTACCAGTATGTGTAAGGCCCTGAGTTTGATCCCCAGCACCACTAAAATAAAATAAAAAGGAAATCATGTAAATACTTTCTTAAAAAAAAAAAAAAACAGAAAAGAAAAACGATCTTTTGTTGTGCGTTCAAACCAAAGGCGCAGTGCCCTCTGGGATGTGTGGGAACTGTTATCGTGCAGAGAAGGAGACTCTGCCATCTGCATGGGGCCCTAGTCTGCAGGCCAGTCGTGGTCACCACAGTCACAAGGAATGCGGAGACTCTGATGACTCCAGAGAACAGGCACAAACAAGACCAGCGATGATGAAACACGGATGCTATGCTGAAAAGAATCAGGATTTTTTTTCCCCACAGAGGAAAAAACTGAGGCTTATTTTGCACAAAATATGGGACTCTGTTAGGAACACACCACAAGCAATTAACAATAAGTGCCATGAAATGAAAGAGGCCTTAATCCTCAGAAGAAAACAATTCCTGTTAGCACAAGGCTTTTGTGCAGGGGCCCATGAGTGGCCACAGGGGACTGTGGATAAAATTCCGGTTTATATTGGTCTGGAGAAATTATGCCTCTGTCAACCTGTGAATGGGATTGAACGTCCCTGCGCTGAGTACTGTAGGCAAAGGATGCCGGTAGAATGAGCGGAACCTGTGACTTCATCACCAACAAAATTATAAATATTTTCATGCTGCATTACGGCTGCTGTAAAGGTACATGTACTGATTTCTTCTAAAATGCAGCTCCTGGTTTGCTTCTGGGAAATGGAATTTCTCTTCCTACCTTGAACAATAACAATCTGGATGGCATTTATCACATGCAACTTTCTTTGATTCTCGGGCTGCACTGGGGCAGGAAGTCAGGGCCTTGCTAGAAGAACTGGCACTGAGCCCCACCCCGGGCCCTGGTCATTTTTATGAAACAATGGGTTTCACACGTTGGACGGCAGGCAGTGCAGGACACAAACCAGTGGGGGCTGGGCAGTCGCCGAGTCAGCAGAGTTGAGGATTCAGGAGATCAAGCAGCTGGAGATGGGCAGAGTTGTCATCAGCTAGGAAACCACCTGAGGCCAGGAAAGAACCACCAGAAGACAGAGAGAACAAAACCTGGCCCCCACACAGGCCCAAGTAGTTCCTTTTCCCATCAACAGAAGGGAAAATCCTCACGGGTCACCTGGCAGAGTGGAGCAGAGTGAGCCCCAGACTATATATAGGATGCTCTGTGCTGCTTAGCAATGCTACGAGACAAGCTTCAAAAGCAGGACAGGTGTTGGCCATGCCTGTGATCCCAGCTCCTCAGGAGGCTGAGGCAGGAGGCCAGCCTAGTTGGAGGCCAGCCTC